CTGACTACCACCCTCACTCAGCTTGCAGCTTGTGACTTTTCTCAAGCACAGAAAGGGCATTCTGGAGGCAAATACTCTCCCTTGGTAGCAGGAAAGAGCCAAAGAAAAAGAAAAAAGCCTACTGTGTTTTAATCGAATTGGAGAATGTACAAATTTTGTCCTGGAGAACTCCAGATTTTTATAGATTTTGATGGAAAGATTACTTGGGGTTAAAACTTTACACGGAAAGCACCCCTAGAAGAGAATGGCCTGCATCTTTTGAAAAGAATTCATTATTTCACGGAACAAGGTCTTGTCTGCAGTTCATCAGCACTGCCTGAAAGATGTCCCAGGTATGCTCGTTAGCTTTCCTCAGTAAGAGATCACCAAGATAAAGTTTTTTTTTTTTAATTTCTATGAGCTCAATATTTTCTTTCCTGAACAGTCTCAAGAGAACTGAGAGATTAAAAATAGTCCATAATATATATTATTCTTAGTTAAGATATTAGTCACATAATATTCTTGAGTTTGCACTTCTAGAGCATCTTCCACCCCAAAATTTCCACATTCTTCCCAAAGTTAACATTTTCCTGACAGGTAAAAATAAAATGGAAATGTCCAAACAGGGAGAGGGAGATATTAAATCTGTAGGCTTTAAAAAGTCCTTTCCAACTCCAACTTTCATATCTAGCTGTGTGATCTTGAACAAGTCACTTTCCGTCTCTGAATCTCAGCTTCAAAATTCATAGAAATGGGAGGTTAGATACTTTCTAGATTTAACACTTTAATTTTAATGGAAAACATGTGGCACGGCTAATATTACATTCTTCTTCGAAGGAGGCCACTTCTATTTAATTATAGTAAATCTTGGCATTTGCATATTTGACATCTGTCACTTTGACTATTCCCAGAGACCCCAAAGGTCCATGAGCTGCAATAATCTGTTATTTTGCAGAGGTGTGCTGTGAGTCTGGGATACAGGAACCAGTCATGTGTTTAGTGAGTGAGATTAACGTTCTGGCAGAACCCATATCTCCGTGAGGTTTTGCTATTGTCTGCAGAAGGCTCAAAGGCCATAATGCTCATGAGGTACTGTAGTAGTAGTCACAAAGGTGGGGGATTCTTCTAGATCATGAAGATGTCAACAGCATCCCTCTTAGATGTCAAGAGTTTACTGTAATGGGTGTTTAAAGTAATCATGCACCTACTCCCCCTTCATCTCCTTTACTACATCATTAATAAAGGCTACTTTAAAAAGTTTTAGTGGTGTGATATAGCAAGGAGATTTCATTCCTCTTTTAATGACCTATCTCAACTGTACCACTTCTCCTATGTGTTTTGATTTGTCTGTATATGTGCATCCTCTCCAGTGGAGAATAAGATCCTTGAGAGCTGAAATGCCAGCTTGTCTTCTTTTTTAATCTCCAGTACCTTGTAACATACCTAGTATGTAGCAGATATTGAACGAATGTTTACTGAATGACTGAGCACATTCTATGAGCAGACACTATGTTAACAGTCCATTTTCTTCCCATTTGTATGTGGTACTTATCACACGCCAGCAGGATAGATACTATTCTTCCTATCATTCCAACAAAATATCTGGGACTCAGACAGGTGAAGTGACTTGTTCAGTTATAGCCCTGGTGAGTAATATATTCATATCTGTTTGTTAAAGTCTAAATTTCATGTTTTTCCATCCTATTACCTTTGAAGAAGTAAAGCATAAAACCAAATAAGTGAATCCAGACTCAGTATTATTGATAGAGCATAGGCCTAGCTTCAAACTGAATAGATTTAGAGGAGTAGGTGAGGGCAAAATTGATAACATGCTGCTAGATTTGGTAGGCAAATAAAGCTATGCAAAGAGGGAAGGATTAGAAAGTGGAATTGGAATTGTTCCAGGCATCACATAGCTTCTAAGTATCCTGAGAGTTTCAATTTCTGTTTCCAGATCAGTACTGCAATTAGCAGAGTCTCAGGTAAGAGCTGGGTCCTAGCTAAGTTGGTGTTGAGTCAAAGCTGCAACCAGAAATTTCAGTTGGAACTGGAAAGCAAGCATTCATGATACAATTCAGCAAGTCATTTGAAAAGCCACTTTCCTTCCTGCATGTCATGGTTTTGTCAAGAACTTTCGAGCCGTTCATCTCTAAGTTGGGACCAGCAGCATCAGGAGCTTGTTAGAAATGCAGAATTGCAAGCTCTACTCTAGACCTTTTGAAATATAATCTGCATTTTAGCAAGATCCCTGGGTCATTCATCAGTACATTAAAGCCTGAGAAACACCACTTTAAATATATGCCAAGATCCTTTCTGTTTCTAATATTCTATGAGTTTAGATTAGGAATTTTCATGGTAACCAAAAAAAACTAGCATGCTTATTAATTGAGATCACACAGAGATCCAAGTATCTGATCACCTCAATAGTGTCTTCTGAAGATTATTGCTAATTCATCGATAATACTATTAATGCCCTCATTTACTGAGCACATACCATCATAACAAAGAACATTGTATATAATATCTTGAATCATCATAACAGCATGCAAGAGAGACATCATTATCCCCAGTTTACTACTAATAAGATAACCTCATAAATTAATAAAATCCTCCAAACTGCATAGTTAAATCAGTAGTAAAGCCAAAATCCTAACCCAGAGTATTTAGAGTCCATGGTTTTTCTGCTACGTCACACTGCCTACAGTTGTAAAATTATGATTTAAAGTATTAAGTGTAGGAATGTGATGTGAGGAGAGACTAGCAGATTTTGGACTCACTCTTCTCCAATGAAGAAGACCAAAAGGGTAGTCTAAGTCTACTGAAGACTAAAAAGTAATGCAAAGGAACAGATGGGAACATGGTCTTGTTTATCAGATGCTAGAATATCTGGACCATCATCTCAATCATGTGGCAGCTGACATACATTTAGAACCAATATGACCCAGACGTGATCATTTATAAAGCATATTTTATACAAAGATATTATTCAAGCTGAAAACACAAATTAGCATGTTCATAGATCCTAAGTGCACAATTGATTATTAATGGGACAAAGAAATTGGGAGCCAAGCCTCCGATCTCTCAAAAACTACTTTTCAGTGTCCTTGGTAGATAAGCACTGAATTGGAAAAACCACCTGTCTATCAAATTATGGCCAATGCTGTAGTCTTGATGTCATTTAATGCCTGAGAGTAACCTCTTACACATTGATATTGCCATAAACATGTATGAAATTTCATGGGGTCTGTCTTCCCAGCAAGGGCCTGTCCTTCATTTGTATGTATAAACACTCTCCCCAGAGCACATATAAATGGATAGTATTCTCTAGAAGGCACAGGTTTTTACTTAGGCTAATAAATGACTATCCTTCCCAGAAAAATGACTAAACAGAGCTCTAATAAATCAATTTGTCAATGGCTATTTCACTTTAGGAGACAATATCCCATGTTCCATCTTTGGCTAGTGCAAGTTGACCCACATTGAGCGCCTATGTCTATGGTTCAGAAAATCTTAGAGCTGGGAGGAACTGCAGAAAGGTCTGACCCTTCCTAGAGGCAAGGAAAGCACTGTTATTCCCACTTTATAGATAAGATAGTTTAGCTCCAGAGCTAAGACTAAATCACTTGCCAAAGTCACATTATTAGGAAGAAACTGAGGAAAAACAAGGGCAGAGTTCCCTGGATGACTCAGCTCTGTTGTCAGCAGAACCCAACTCATTTTGAGCTCTGTCCCAAGGCTGGACCTGGGGAGAGGCATTTCTAAGGCACCTCTCCCTGGGTCCCATGGACGCCCTTTTTCATGAGTTCCTTCCTTTGCTCTCTGAAAGTTGTGTTTTCATTTCCCACTGACAGTGTTTTAGCAGGTTCTTGGAGGAGTGTGACATCCCCCCCTTCCTATATTCCTTTTGTTCTTCACACCTTCTCCTGCTAACTGCTCTTTGCTTGTGGACATGAGCAGGAATTCAGAAATAAGGCTCCCCTTTATAATCCCCAGCCTTCTTAGCCACCCTGGAAAGTCTACCCTCTCATAAGCTGCGAAACCTGGGGAAAGTCATTCTGCTTTCTTCTTCAAAGCTATCCATTTGAGAAAAGGACAGAACACCCAGGACAAGAAGATTCAATGGGGAGCAGCCTTAGAGTTACAGAGGCAATAGAAATGCAACACCCACAGTGTGAGAAGGACTAAATGGGGCAGCAATCTGGGAACTATTTTAGGAGAATTCTGATCTATGAAAAGAGATGACCACACAGAACATGTATTTTCTTCCACAATTCTTAAGAGGCGTCCCCTTCAATGCTTAGCCAGATTTTGGAGCTTAGACTTGTGAATAAAAACAGGTGGCTGCTGCCCTGGGAGCTTTGCTTCTCTAAGATACATCCAGTACCCAAGCCATACTGACTCATCTCACCTAGACTGGGCAAGCCTTGTAAAATAGCCTATGGGCATTTAAGTAGGTTGCCAAGTTTCAATCAATTTTGCAATTTCCAAATTGAGGGAGAGATACCTAAAATCTGGTTATACAATACAACTGCAGTATGGCACTGGAAAAAAACAAGCCAATGCCACGTGTTTTCTTGAGGATGTCCTGACTGGGCTATCACCGTCTCAGAATGGAAAGGATTAGCTTCAAAGTTCATATAAGCCCTTGGCATGAGGGAGAGAAGGAAGGAGAGACCCAAGTAGTTTCTTAGCTCTTGCTTATTCACAAGGATTCTTCAAAATCTGATATTAAAAATTCTGTCACCCACACCTCCACCAGCTATCATGTTGCTTTGGTGGACAAAATCTGCATCCTTAGATTCTGCCACAGGATTTCTTGCCCAGAAGCAATTTAAAGTGAGAAAACCGAAGGAGAGTTTAGAAGCAGAAACTGCCAGTAGTGTCTGCTGATCCTGCATACCTGTGATGGAACCAAAGTTTGACATTAACACAAATGCAAGGGAAATTTTAAAGAGTGGTGCAGAAGGATAGAAGGATATAGGAAGAGTTGAAGGGGGTCAGAATATTGAAAGCTTACTTACACAGTTTCATCATTCTTGAACTCCAGCTCCCCATACGTGTCTTCAAAATCCTCACCACCACCCTTGGCTGTCCCTTCTACTGTCCTAAAGGGGACTATTACTGTGCCCCGGGCACCTGATGTCCTCAGAACCTTGACCTCCATGATACCAACACTCTCACTGACATGAATAGTGTCACATTCAAAAGTGAAGATGCCTGCATGGTCATCATCCAAGATAGTGACTGTGGCCACATAAGGAGACGCCAGGACAGCCCGAGGCAAGGGAAGACAATTGAGTAGTGTTGGAGGCATCCCCTCCTCTGGTAGCTCCTCCTCTATGCGGACACTGCTCAACCTCACAAAGAAGTGTTCATCCTCCTCAAAAATGTCATCGTCAATGATGCCCACAGAGAACTCCTTCTGGGTCTCTCCTGGCTTCAGAACCACAGTGCCCTCTGTGAACTCATAGTCAGCCCCTGCATTGGCAGAACCATCCTCTGTTTTGTAGTCCACATACATGGTCTTGGACATGTCCCCCCCTTTTCTCACCACTGTCAGGAGCACAGCCCCACAGTTCTCCAGGCACTGGTAAGAACATGGGTCAAAGAAGACCTTGGAGACAAAGTCCTCAGGTTCATCAGTGTGTACCTCACTCATGCTGGAGGACTTTTTGGCTTGTTCTGCTGCATGTTTCTTCAGGATATTGCCTGCGCCAGTCATCATACGGGTGGCCTGGATCCGGTAGAAGGCGCGGCTCTTCTGCTGATGGGAAAGAGCATAGTAATTGGCCATCTCTACGAGCTGATCTAAGTCCTTCTCTGGGTGTTTTTGCTTCAGATCTTTGAGAATCCGGATCATCTCCCTGCGGGACTCATCCACTTCCTTCCCTTCCAAGGGCACCAGGTTCCCATCTAAGAAGTGGGAATTCATCATTTTTCCATCCATCTCAATGCCCTTGGGGTGCTCACCCTCTGTCTCAATGATAATTCCTCGGTGTTTATCTGTGCGATACTTTTTGTGCATGTATTTATAGAAGAGCAGTCGCTTATCGGCCATCCAGGCCAGAAAGACACACACTGGAAAAAAGAAGAGAGTAAGGAGGCCTTCCCAAACCTGGACCACACCAGGAGAGAAGACTGCCAAGATCATATAGAGCCAGATGTAGGCAAAGATGCTCCAAGCAGCAGTGACAAAGAAGACTCGTAGGTGCTTGATCTTACGAGTCTCTCCATCAGGAATCACGTAGACACAGATGCCAATAATGATAAACATGTTGAAAGCTGCACTGCCTACGACGGTAGAAGGTCCCAGATCACCAGCAATGAACCCATGACCACACACCTCAATTAAAGTGAGAAGGATCTCAGGAGCAGAGGAACCCAGGGCCATAAGGGTCAGGTTGGAGACAGTTTCATTCCATACCCGAATTGTTGTTGTGCTGGTCTCTCCATTGGGCTTTTTGATAGTCACCTCTCTCTCTTGAGAAGTGATAACTTCAATAGATGCCATGAAGCGGTCAGCAATGATGGATACCCCAAGGAACATGTATATCAAGGCCACAAAATAGACAATGACCCTGGCAATCTTGTCTCCAAGGGAAGGGTTCTCCGGGTACCAGATTGGTAAGATGACACCCTCCTTGCAGTCTGATGACCCTGAACAGGACTCATTGTTCTGCCCTGTGCTGGGCACATCCCCTGAGCCACCAGCCTCTGCCCGAAGACCATTCAGGAAGAGCACAAAAGTAATCAGCCCAAAATGGAGGAAGGCAGAGGTGAGAGGCTGTAACCTTAACCACGCCATACACGAGACTTAGTTGCTGACTTCCACTGTAGCACCAACGGTCCTCCTGACAGTCCAGAGACCTAGAAAAGACCAGAGAGGCAGGAAAAAAACATGAGGAAAAGGGAGATGGTAAATGGTAGGTTCCCACCAATACAAACTGGTATTTCACCTCGTGTGACATATTGCACTAACATATGGGGTAGTCTCTCACTTGGAAAAATAAACGTCAGTGGGAGGCACAAACAGCTGCTCTGTCCTCAGGACCATCTGGTTGAGACTCAGTTGAAGAATGGCTTAAAAGAGCCGGGGATATTGTGATGATAAGTGATAGCATCTAGTCCTGTCTCCCAACCTTACCGTTTTCCATGAGAGCTCTCAAGTGTCACCTTAAAACAGGCCAAGAATTCCCTGAATTTTTGTCACCACTTATACTATTTCAGCCTTCTTTACCTCATTTCCTCATACTCAAGATTCTTGCATAATAGGTTTGCAAGGGCACATATTGAATTAAACTTTATCATAAGCCCCCCAAAATAGAACACCTGGTCTGTGTACAATTGAATCCCCTTGGGAAAAACTCCTTCCCTAGTGTAAAATTTTTGCTGGCATGCTGTAATTCTGAGATTGATTCTGTAGTGAATCTGTAGTAAGTGCTACCAGCTGTGTAGCTGAACCAAGGCCCTATAAGCTATGTCCAATATCCAGTCCATGGCAGCCCTTAGCCCTCCAGCAAAACATGCTTATGAAACAGTTTCAGTTACAGGAAGACAAAGACCAATCAGCCACTCAAATTCTGAACCCAGATACAAAAGGGTAAAGTGGTAGAAATCACTATTAAAAGAACATGCAAGTGACTCTCAAATAAGTTGTTTTTAACTGTAAACAAAATTCTGGGGTGAAACGCAGCCTCATCTGCTGGCCTCAAACCAATAAAAGGTGAGTATGAATTCAGAAGAGTGGAAAGAAACTCAACTGAAATTGCAGTCTCATCTTTCCACTCATTGCCTCATTCGGATAGAATGAGAATGCAAATAACCATGCAATAGCTAAAAAAAGAAAAAAAGAAAAGAAAAAAAAAAGCAACTTGCCAATTTTTTTTACCTCTGCTACAACCATGTGGGGTACTTTTAGTAATAGAGGAATGCTGATTTGTACCTGTATAGCACATAAAAGGATTCAAAGTCCTCGTTCTCCATACCTGCTCCTCTTTCTCCACTGCTTCCCGTCTCAAAAAATAGCACCTCTACCCGCCCAGTTACTCATGCTAGAAAACGGGTGTTAATCTGCAGCCTTCCTCTTCCACCTGCCCCTTATCCAATCCAGCACTAAATCCGATCAACTCTCCTTCCATCTCTACCACCATCATCACAGCCCAAGATGCCATTACTCCTCACCTGGTGAATCTATGCAATAACCGCCAAAGTGAACTCACCCTCCAACTCTTGCTGTTCTCTATTCCATTTCTTCATACATTCAGTCATCTTTTTAAAAAAATCCAAACCTATGCTACCACTTCCCTGTTTGAAATCTTTCAGTAGTTTCCTCTTGCTCTTAATTTAAATATGACCTACAAAGCTTTGCATGAGCTACCTTTTCCCTCCTCTTCCCCTGTCATCTCCTGGCACGCTTCTTCTTACTACCTTTCCACAATAATGGACTTCATATCAGGTTATTTTCCACCTCGGTACCTTTGCACATGACATCATCCGTGCATGTCTGAAATGACTATTTCTTCATTGTACCCTCACTCTTCAGGCTGCAGCTTAAATGTTGCTTTCTCAGAAAAACCTTCCCTCACCCCCTAAAATGGTCAACTCCTTCTGCTATGTCTTCTCATCACACTCTTTACTATTCCTTCATGACATTTACAGAACTTTGAACTCGTAGGATTATATGATTAATGTCTAACTCATCCATTAAACTGCGAATGACAAAAAAGCAAAGATTATGTTTATTCTGTTTATCATGGTATCCTAAGTAGTTAGTAGGTGTTCAGTAAATGCATGTTTTTGGAATAAATAAATGTAGCCACTAAGGAAACTTCCTCAGTGCTATGGAATGAATTGTATCATCTTAAAATCCATACGTTGAAGCCCTAAGCGCCACGTGACTGTATTGGGAGATGGGGCTTTTAGGAGATAATTAAGGTTTAATGAGGTCATAGGGCATGGTCCTAACCCAGCAGGATCGGTGGCCTTATAAGAAGAGAAAGAGAGAGATGTCTTTCTCTGCCACGTGAGGGCATAATGAGAAAGTGGCCATCTGCAAGCTAGAAAGAGTGCTCTTGCCAGAAACTGAATTGGCCAGCACCTTGATCTTGGGTATCGTAGCCTCCAGAACTGTGAGAAAATAAATTTCTATTGTTTAAGTCACCTGGTCTATGACATCTTGTTATGGCAGCCTGAGCAGACTAAGACATTCTGACAACAGCCTTCTTTAAAGCCATTGTATGATCTGAATTATAGCTATTTGCTTTAGAAAAAGAATATGTAGCTCTTATAGATAAATCCTGACTTGATTTTAGAGGCTGTATAGGACCTCTTTAAATTCCTAAGGTTGTACTCAAAGACAAAGGACACAGCCTGCCTGGGCACATACTGTAATCTCGAAGGCCTTGTGCTCAAGGGCTCTGTGGTTAACTTGGTTTCAGGTCCCCCAGAATGACAGTCAAGTGCTGAGGCCTACATTTCCCATTAGTCCCAGCACTGGGGGTCATCACAAGCAAGTGTCTGTCGGCTCTGACCTCATTCAGGAGAGTAAAGATTATGAGGTTTACTATGGAAGAGGAGGGCAGTGTTCAGCATTTATATGCAAAGGTTGAAAAAGTTCTCCAAATCTGTAATGTACACAGAGACCCCATTCACAGGTTTGGCACTCACCCACCCTAGAGAAATGCGGACAGAGAAGGATCTTCCCTTGACCTTTGAAAACCTGACACTTTGTGGATTCTAATAAGCCCCATGCAGGAGGAAACAGCAGGTAGGCAAAGATAGAGCAGCTCTTTGATCAAGAGTAACAGGAGGTAGCAGCTGCCTGGGTTAGCCACGCCCAAAGAGGTGGGCTATCTACAGGTTAGAGAAGAGGGCTGGCCTTCTGGAGTCAAAAGACATGGAACATTGAGGCAGCTGAGTTATCCAGATTCATGGGGACAAGGACTCTTCTCTTACCCACCAGGAGAATTAAGGAGGATGATGGTCTTTGTTCTCTTCAGTTTTACAGATAACTTGTGATGGTTTTTATGAGAAATATGCTATCATGTGGTCAGAATCAGAGGTCAGTTTAGAAAGACTTTTCCCTGGAAAACAAATGAACTGAAGAAAAGGATGAAAGAAAACTAGGCAAGAGGAGGCTAGTAAATGCCTGCACCAAGTTTTTAGAATTTAATGTGGAAAATGACCTGTGAATTCCCAGTCGTTCTTTCCAGCCCTGACAGGAAATAATAGAGGGAGATTTTAAGGAAGAGGGGTACTCTGACAACCAAGCCAGTGGTCATTTTTTGTGTGTGTGTGGCATTGCCCTAGCCCCAGATACCAACTGAGAAAGATCCTAACCTCCTGGAAGTCTACTCCAGCCCCTTAGAGACCCAGATGGTTCCAGAAGGCTCTTAATCAGCCCTCAGGTATACTCAGAAATATGACTCAGCTTGAGACCCCCAGAACCACTCCCAAATAATCAAGATACTAGTAATAGTACTTTAAACTTTTAAGTGCTTATTGTGTGATAATGCTAAGTACTTCCTCAGTTAATCTTCATGACAATCCTATGAGATTAGTACTATTTTTATCCCTATTTTAGGAGACTGAGTTAAGTCATTTACTCAAAATATAAAGTAAAGAAGTAGCAGAGCCAAAACTCACACACAGATGACATAAAATTTATGGTTTTAACCACTCCATTTTACGAAGATGTCCCACTTTATTACAGAACATCTGTGACCCTCAATCAGCTTCCAGTCCTCTGTGGATTTAGAAGCAATAAGACTGCCCCAAGTAGAGGAGACACTAGCCATTTGGTAGAGTTGCCTAGCCTCCAGACTCACTGGGGGTGTCCTGGTTGCCCGATGCAGTCTCCCACCCAAATATTCTCCTTCCATCAGTTCAGTTTGACAAAAATTAACAAAAGCCAATGATTTTCCAGCACTGGTACTAGATGTTGGTGGGCAAATGAAAAATAAGACACAGGGTGTGGACTTAAAGATATAGTCTAGCAAGGTGAATAGCTGCACAAACAGGCACTTTTACTACAAATGAAGATAAGGGCAGAATGCTGTGAGAACATGAGTTGGGCACTGAGCCAGCTTTGGAAGTCAGGGAGGCGTTCTTAAGGAGGTGATCTCTGAAACGAGTCTTCAAGCATGAGTGAGCTTTAGTCAACTAAAGAAGAAGGAGGAGGAGGAGGAGGAGGAAGAGGAAGAGGAAGAGGAAGAGGAAGAAGAAGAAGAAGAAGAAGAAGAAGAAGAAGAAGAAGAAGAAGAAGAAGAAGAAGAAG